CACACACACACACACCACCACCACCACCACCACCACCACCACCCACCCCCAAACCTCATTGCCATCCTTGCTGTGGATTTTCCTAAAGTATAAATTCTATACGGGAGTAGAAAGTGTCTCCCAGGAACTGACTGGTGGTTTTGAACAGCTGACTTTGGGGTTAGCAGCCCAACACTTATCCAGGATGCCACCAGGCTCCTGTGGTTCATGTTAGCAGAGGACATTCAACCCCGAACCCCCCAGCAGGCACTTGCATAACGCCCTATCGCCCTCCCCTCAGTGCTAAAGGTAAGCACAGTCTGAATGTGTTTTTTCAGATGAGAAGGACTGAGTTAGAAGGAAGCTGAACCCACAGGGGCTCTGGGATAGGACCGCAGCACCAGGCCCGGCTCCCTCCTGCCCAGGCAGTCCCTTGGTTTCTGGGCTGGAGGGGGAGTAGGCTGGTCGTAGACTGATCCTAACACTCAGCCAAGCAAGCGCTTCCCCCTGCACTTGCTGGTGGCTGCCCCTGCGGTTCCGATGTTGGGGACGCTGTGTTCTCATGCCGGTGAGCAAGCTGGCTATCAATAAACATGGCCCCCTCCCTCTGGGGGTTTTCGTCATCCCCTGGGGACAAGGGGATGCTTCTTCTACTGCTTGTCCCCTCCCCAGAGCACCAGCCAACCCGGGCCAAGCCAGAGTACCCAGTACACCAGGTTGGCACGGGCTTCCTTGTGCTCACTGAGTAGTTTGTGGTGAGCAGCTTTACCTGGGCATCACCAGCTCACTACAGGTCAGGAAGTACGGACAAGCTTACCTTGCTTATTGGGAAGTCTATGGGAGCATCTCCAAGCTCTCTCCCTCCCCGCCTCTGGGCAGGGTCGGTGGAGGCAGACAGTGATCAAGCACTCCAGTATTTAGAGGGGGCCCCTGGGCCACCGGATGAGACCTGTGGGAAAGGCCTGATCCCCAGAGCTCCGTTTCCCCAAAGGCCCAGGGGCTGAGAGTCTCTTCTGCGCGTGTCTGTGTCTCCGCAGAAATCTTACTTCTCCACGGTGAAGATTGTCTACACCTTGGGCCACAGCATCTCCGTGGTCACCCTCTTTGCGGCTGTCGCTGTCCTCCTCACTCTCAGGTGTGCTATTCTCCCCATCACCTGCTTGGGACGTGTCAATGACTCCCTGGTGCCCTGAAGACCAAGTCGGATTGCTGGCCTGGGCACTCAAGAGTCCCCCTGCTCCCTGACCCACCTCCTCCCAAACAAGAACCCGGGCCCAGCAGCACACCTCGGCCTCCGCTGTCTCTGTTTGCCGGGACTCATTCTTTCTCAAGGTGCTTATATCGAGAGATGAGAAGCCCAGCTTCCACCTGCTTCTCAAAATCCTCTCAGCAGGATGACCGCTGCAACCTGCTGACCACCGTCTTCTTTGACGCCCCGGCCTCCAGAGTCGGAGCCCTGTCCACACCCAGCCCGTGACAGTGCCTGCCCCCTGGGGGCGAGTCTTCTTTCTCTGAGGGACAGGGTCCCTTTGTTCTCCTGTCTCTCAGATGTCGAGCTCCCTAAAGTCAGGGTCTGGGACCTCCACTGTCCTCTCAATGAGATTAAGCCCAGGGACCTGCTGGTCACCTGTCCTGCAGAGCTGACATGGACGTCTCCGGGGCATGTCACATCACGTCAACTCTACTCCAACCCAATTCACTTCCACTCTCCCCTCCCCTCCCCTCCTGGCCCTGCGAAGCCCACTAAGCCTGGCCCCTGTGGTGAGCACACGGGAAGCCCGTCTCCCACCTGACCTCCTGTTTCTTCCCTGCCCACCCGCTCCAGGAAGCTCCACTGTTCTCGGAACTACATCCACACCCAGCTATTCGCCACCTTTATCCTCAAGGCCGGAGCTGTGTTCCTGAAGGATGCGGCCCTCTTCCACGGCGACCACACTGATCACTGCACCTTCTCGACCGTAATGCCCATGGTGGCGGGTGGAGCTGGAGGGGGCGGGAAGGGGCTGGGGTAAAGCCCTGGAGGAGCTGGCCCCATACTGTGCCCACGGTCTCTCTCCCTACCAAACACACTGCCAGTGAGTCACTGAGCCTGACTCGTGCTGAGCCTGACTCACCATAGAGCTGCCTATGGGCTCCCGAGATGGGAACCCTTAAAATAATTTTAAAAATTTTATTGGGGATCTTACAGCTCTTATAACAATCCATACATCAATTATAACAGGCATATTTGTACATATGTTGCCATTATTCTTTTCTAGACATTTACTTTCTATTTGAGTCCTTGGTATCAGCTCCTCTTTTTCCCCCCACCCTCGCGACCTCTTGATAAATTATAAATTATTATTATCTTCATATCGTGCACCGATTGCTGTCTCCCTTCCCTGAACATTTCTGTTGTTCATCCCCTTGGGGAAGGGTGTGGTTATGTGTCAATTATTGCCATCGGTGCCCCCTTCCTCCCCTTCTCTCCCCACCTTCCCCTACACTCCTGCTATCACTATTCCCATTGCTGTTTCTGGATTCTGTGTCGTGAGCTCTTATCTGTACCTGTGCACATGCTCCGGCCTAGCCAGAACTGAAAGGCAGAACCAGGGTCATGATAGTGGGGGTGGGGGTGAGGAATCCTCAAGGAACCAGAGGAATATTGTGTGTTTCATCAGTGCTTTACTGCACCCGGGTTGACTCATCCCTTCCTTGTGACCCTTCTATGAGGAGATGTCCCATTTGAGACTGTAACTCTTTACAAGAGTAGAGAGTCTCACCTTTCTCCCTAGGAGTGACTGGTGGCTTTGAACTGATGACCTTGTGGTTAGCAGCCCAGCACTCAACCACTATGCCACCAGGACTCCACTGCCATTCCACTGGGGCTTTAATTTCACTCCTTGAGGAGGGTCTGTAGCAGGGGGTGGGGGAGAAAGCAGCTGGGCCCCTCCCTCAGGAAACCCAGGCTTCTCGGGGGACAGCGGGCACACAGACCCTGCAGGAAGCGGGGCTCTGGGTCAGAGTAGAGAGGACGGAGGGAGCACGGGCAGGAAGGTGGGTGCAGTCAGTGTGAACCCCCCCTCCAAGGCCAGAGGACCTGGGACCTGCCTGAGAAGCTGACAGAGGCATGAGAAGGACCAGAGAAGATTTAAAAAAAAAAAAAAGGCAGTTGGGTTTCCACCAAAGTCATTGCCACCGAATGGATTCCAACTCACAGGGACCCCCTGGGACCAGGAAGAACAGCTCCTAGAGTTTCGGAGACAGCCCTTCCTTTACCGGTGTGTTTCGACCTCACCGTGCCTCCGGAACCCACTGCCGCCAGGGCTCCTTCTTCCCACTCACTCTAAAACCACGCGGGCTCCCTGACGACAGACACGTGCGTGAACTCATCCACCTGGGCCCTGATGACTTAGTGGAAACGGGAACCATCCAAGGACGGTGCTTCAGGACGCTGGCGGAGGGCCGGCATGAAGCCCGCGGAGCGCTTCCTGGGAGCTTTGGGAAGTCCCCAGACAGACCGAGCCTTGCAATGTGCCAGGCATGGCACTCAATGCTTTAAGCTGAAGCGACCGGGGGAGAGAGTCTGGCTTGAACCCCATTTTGTAGAGAAGGGTCAGGGGCCACTGAGAACCTTGGCAGTCCTCCCCCTTATTTCCCCTGCCCTCACTGCTAAGTGCGATGCAGGGTCCCAGGCGGGAGGGGGCATCTGAGCTCAGCGCTCAGCGCTCAGAGCTGCGAGGGAGGTGCTCTGAAGCCCTGGGGGAAGGCAGGCTCAGAGGAGGGAGGTTCGGGATCTGGCCGGTGCGGCTCCGCGATGCTCCACGTTCCCAGCAGGGTAGTGGTTGGTAGATGCTGTTGGGTCAGTTCCAACTCATAGCAACCCTGTGGGCCTCGGAGCGGAAGAGCACCGCCATGTCCCCCGCCGCACAGTTGCTCTTATGCTGAGCACCTCGTGGCCACGGTGCCAATCCATCTTGTTGAGGGCCTTCCTTGCGCTCACTGCCCCTCCCCTTGACCAGGTCCGATGTCTCCCCTGACAACAGGTCCGGAGCACATGGGATGGAGTCTCGCCATCCTCGCCTTTAAGGAGCACTGGGGCTGTACTTTCTCCAAGACGGATCTGTTTGTTCTTGGGCAGTCCCCGGTACTTCCAACATGTCTCCCCAGTGCCGCCATCCAAGCGCATCGGTTCTCTGTCGGACTTCCTTATTCAATGTCCAGCGTTCACGCGCACATAGGCGATGGGGCCAGGTGCACTATGGTCTTTCAAGTTTTCCCAGCTGTAGGCCCTTCCCAGCTTGACAGATGGACCGAGGAGCTCTGGTGGCATTGGGTTGCTCACTGTAAGGTCAGCAGTTCGAGCCCCCCAGGCACTCTGTTGAAGAAAGATGAACCTTTTTACTCCAGGGAAGAGTTACAGTCTCAGAATCCCGTGGGGGTGGGGCGGCTGCATCCTATAGGATCACTCACTAAGAGGTGGAATCTCGACTCGATGGCAGTGAGTTTGATGGAGTGAGGGATGAACTGGGGTCTCTGGTCCCAGGTGTGATCTGTGCTTAGCTGCTAACCACATGTTGGCCGCTTGGGTCCACCCACAGGCACCTTGCAAGAAAGGCCTTGCGATCTGCTTCCCCCAATCTGGGCCTTGAACGCCATGTGCAGCACAGCGGTGGGCCCAGGAATCCGGAGCAACATGAAAGCCGCTGGCTTGGCTGGTTTACTTTGTCTCGGGTGGGCTTGAGTTCGGGAGGGCTGGGGTGAAAGGGGACGCCGTCGCAGCACTTACAAGGTGCTTCCGCCCAGTCCCTGAGGCACAACCATGAGATCCGACTGGTTTCCCTCTAATGGATGAGGAGCTCAGGCATAGGGAGGCTCAGACACTAACTCGTGGTAGGATTTGAACCCAAGGTGTTTAGGTTCCGACACTGTGACCCGCATACCACACTGTGGGGCTTCCGGGGGGCAGGGGCCAGTTTTCAGTCCCAGCGGGGTATCGGGCTGGGGCCCAAAGGGTGTTCCAGCTCTGAAGCACCCAGGTGTCTGCCCCCAGGCCCTGTGCAAGGTCTCTGTGGCCGCCTCCCACTTTGCCACCATGACCAACTTCAGCTGGCTGTTGGCTGAAGCCGTCTACCTGACCTGTCTCTTGGTTTCCACGTCGCCCGGCGTGAGGTGTCCCTTCTGGCGGCTGGTTCTTGCTGGCTGGGGTGAGCGCTGGGGGCTGGCTTTGAGTGCAGTGGGGGATGGAGGTGGGTGGGCAGGCAGAGGGCAGGGAAAGGCAGGGACCCCAGACCTCACACAGAGGCGCTTTCCCTCCCTGTGGAAGACCTGGAGGCCCAGAGCTGGGAAGACACAGCCCACAGCCACGCAGCAATGCATGGGGGAGGGAAGCAGGGTGGGACTTCCCTGGTCTTTAGCTGTGAGGTTGGTCCAGCGGTGGGAGCAGGGTGGGGCACTGAGCTCCGTATGTAGACATCTCCGTCATCGTGTCTCCTCTGTGGTCCCTACAGGGCTGCCCCTGCTCTTCACCGGCACCTGGGTGGGTTGCAAGTGGGCCTTTGAGGACATCGCGTGAGTCTGAACTGTCTGGGGTTGCACGGGGCATGGAGGGGACAGCTAGGGAATGTGGGGCTTCTCTAAGTTGGGAAGGGGAGCCCTGGGTCCTGCCCACGGGGAACTCCCAGGCTGAGGCCAGGAGGGGGGGTCTTGGAAACTGGGAGAGAACATGGTGCCGAGCCTCTCGGGGCTGTGGGTGGTCAGGGAGGGCTTCCTGGAAGAGGAAGTGTTGGGGCTTGCCAGGAAGCAGGGGACCCATGTCCACCCATCAAATGGAAAGAAAGGGTGAGCCCAGCCTGGATTGTGTCCCTTTGGACGTGGAGTGGCTAACTGGCTGATGGGGAGGAAGGGTGATGCCTGATGGCTTGAATGCAGGAGAGAGGAGAGGCCATCTGGAGGCCGGGAAGGGACTTTGGACTTCGCCTTGGACATCTCTAATGTCATCCCTGGCTCTTCCTCCCCAGGTGCTGGGATCTGGACAACAACTCCCCCTACTGGTGGATCATCAAAGGCCCCATCATCCTCTCTGTCGGGGTCAGTCCTTGGGCCAGTGCCCTTTTGCCCTTTGGTTTAGTCAATCAACTTCCCTGGGCCACCCATGGGCCACTGGCAGCAGGAACCATGGCTCCAGGTGGGGAGTCGGGAAGCCCGAGTTCCAGCTTGGCTCCAGCATGGATTCCTGGGATATTCTCTGTGGGCCTCAGTGTCCCTGGTGATGTAGAGCTGGGGGATGGTCCTGATGGGAGCTCAGTTCCCTGCGACTCAGTTTCAGTGAGTGTGCTTGCAGGTCACACCTTGCTGCTGAGAGATGGGGTGGGGGTGGGGATCTGAGTTGTCCTGCAGGTGAGCCCCCAGCTGTCCCCACATGTGGAAGGGAGGCATCAAGGCCTACCTGCATGGCATCGGGATGGGGTGAATTTCTTTTCAAGCCAGCATTTATGCAAACAGAGGGATACCTAATTTATGGTAGATAAGCCTGGAGGATGGCTAGTGGCCAGAGGATAGGACCTGAGCCCCTGCCCATCCAATTTGACCTCAGGGCTGGAGAAGGTGGGGCCTCTGAGCCCCGCACCCCATCTTGTTCTCCAAGGTTTGCATGTGAGACATCTTGGTCTTTGGGCTAGAAGTCTTGGAGCAATGCTTTAACTGTCGACCCACCTCTGCATGCCGTGTCTCAGGGACTTGGGGTTTCTGGTCCTCAAATACAAAGAGCCCTGGAGGCATACTGGGTGAGGCAATGGGCGGCTGGCCACAGGGTCAGGAGTTGGAAACTACCGGCCACTCCGAGGCAGAATGATGAGGCTGTCTGCTCCTGTAAAGAGTTGCCATCTCAGAAACCCCAAGGAGTAGCTCTGCTCTGGGCTGTATGTGGTCCCCCAGGTTCAGAATTGGGCCCCCAGCCAGCCTACTCTTGGCCTCCCTGTGGCTTTTGTCCTCCACCTTCACTTTCTTCCCTTTCCAGGTGAACTTCGGACTTTTTCTCAATATTATTCGAATCCTACTGAGGAAACTGGAACCAGCTCAGGGCAGCGTCCACACCCAGTCTCAGTACTGGTAACTCTGTGTGTGTATGTGTATGTGTGTGTATATGTATGTGTGTGTGTATGATGTGTGCTTGTGTGTGTATGTGTGTGTGTATGATGTATCTGTGTGTATGATGTATGTTTGTGTGTATGTGTATATGTGTGTATGATGTATGTTTGTGTGTACATATGTGTATGTGTGTATATGTATTTGTGCATGTGTATGTGTGCATGCATGATGTATGTTTGTGCGTGTATGTGTATGTGTGTGTATATGTATGTGTGTTTCTGTGTGTATGTGTATGTGTGTATGATGTATGTGTGTATGTATGTGTGTATGATGTATGTTTGTGTGTATATGTGTATATGTGTATGTGTGTATGTGTGCATGCATGATGTATGTTTGTGTGTGTATGATGTATGTTTGTGTGTATGTGTGTATGACATATGTTTGTGTGTGTGTATATGTGTGTGTGTTTGTGTGTGTATGTGTATGTGTGTGTATGATGTATGTTTGTGTGTGTGTGTGTGTATGTGTGTGCACGCACACGCATGCAAGCATGCTAGGGTGCTGGGAGATGAAGTCAGTGCAGTCTGTCTCACCTGGCAGGTGAGCCTGGTCCCATGCTGCTCTCTGTGCTCCAGAGAGAACATAGAGCCAGTCCCTGCCCCCCAGGAGACCACTCAGCCAGCTAATGGCCAGCTAATGGCCCTGGGATTTATTTCTATGGCAGTGTGGTGGGGTGGGGGAGGTGAATTAGAGAAGACTTGCTGGGGAAAGTGGTCTTTGCATTGGACTTTGACAGATACATCCATCTTTGACGGGTGTCCCCTGGGACAAGAGCACATGACATGGGAACATGGGCCCCAGGGTGCAGAAGTAAGCGTGGGGGGCGGGGTGCTGCTGCACAGACTGGAAGAGAGGGAGGTGGTGGCAGGCAAGGGGGAGCAGAGGCTCACTGGACCAGGACTTTCAAGACTGAGCCTAGGGCGTGTCCTCTCCTGCAGGCGTCTCTCCAAGTCAACGCTTCTTCTCATCCCTCTGTTCGGAATCCACTACATCATCTTCAACTTCCTGCCTGACAGTGCTGGCCTGGCTATCCGCCTGCCCCTGGAACTGGGGCTGGGCTCCTTCCAGGTGAGGGGTCTCTGCGGGCATGCTTTTCCTGAGGGTCCTGGACCAGGACGGAGGTGTTGCTACCTATAGGCCTTGGTTGACTTTTTGATAAAGAGGGGCCCCAGTTATTCTTCTGTCTGTTCATCCCTTCAATTTTTCATCTGTCTGTCCATCTTCTATTCAACCATTGCGTTATTTAGTTAACTACTGTGTTAGGCTGAGTTTTCTAGAGAAAACCAGTGACAGTCATATATGTATAATTAAGAACTTTATATCAAGAAAGAAATTTACATCAAGGAAGTCCAACTGAAGTCCCTTCCAACTTAAGTCCACGGGCCAGCTGCAGCCCCCTCCAGACTCACTCAGGAGCCTGCCGGTGAAGCAGGAAGGTGAATTGGGAATCTCAAGTTTGTGGGTGCAGCATCATGTGGATTCAAGGTCAGCAGGAATATGGCAGGGTGCCGACTGTTCCCAAGGACAGCAGCTGGCCCAGAGCCAGATGCAGAGTTGAAGCAAGTGAGGTGGTGAAGAGAGGCAAGAGAGAGAGAGACCAAGTGAGGCTATAGAGAGAGGCTCCATAGCCTCGCTTATCAAAAGGTCATGCCCCCAAGGAGAGCGACACCCATATATTCACATAGGTGCATCAAGTTGACATAATAACTACCCATCTAACTAACCATCACAACTACCCATTCACTCATCACCCATACATTCGATCATTCATCTATCCATTCATCCATCCATCCATCCATCCATCCATCCATCCATCCGTCCACCTACCCATCCACCTATCCACCCATCCATCCATCCTTCCATCCATCCATCCATCCATACATCAACCTACCCATCCACCTATCCACCCATCCATCCTTCCATCCATCCATCCATCCATCCATCCATCCATCCATCCATCC